AATGAGCATGGTGTCTTTCTCCCTACACCACACTTCAGACAGGAAACCACTGTCCAAACTGCACCCCCTCTTCCTGACCTGCTGTCAGTTTCCCTGCAGACATAGTACTAACACAGTTACAAGCAGAGTGAATATACAATGGCATTTTGAACTAACGCTCATACCTGGGGTGGGGTGGGGGCAACATGAGGTTTTTTCCAGATGTTGTTCGACCACAACTCTAATCAGCTCCATTTTATATAGCTGGTGGTGAAGAATGATGGAAGTTGTAGTCCAGCAACATTGGGCAGGTCATACGTTGCTTGCCTCCAGCCTAGAAATTAGCTCACAATGGTACAACGATCAGTGGCTAAATGCAATTAATTATACAAGGCCACGGACTATCCATCGATACAAATATTTTTCTTTGCCCAAGACACTTAGCAAAATAGATCCTCATTACCTTGTAATTTATCATACATTATTTATCTGGATCCTTCCTGAATTTGTACATGTGCATATGTTAGCATCGGTCTTTTCACTATTAAACAATAACTCACTTTATGCCCCTTCCTTTTGCTATCTGTATTTGCAAAGATGAAAATCCCAGATCAGTTTTCAGGCCGGTAGCACAATTTCAGCCACGTTGGTTCATCCTTCTTCCAATGATAAATAGTATTATTTGGTGTTCACAGACAGCCAAGATCACACAGGACTTTCACAAAGCTTAGGTCATTCATTAACTCTCAAATACTGGAGCTGCGCTTAAAAAAAACAAAAAAAAAACCCACCTCTGCTGAAAGCATGTTTCCATGGCACCCAGATCATATCCACTCTAGCACCTAGAGAATATGGGCCATTAATGGACTTTTTTTACTCCCTGGCATTTCAAATGTTTGACACTTATTATAATTATGCTATCTCTTTTTGACTAATTGAGGCATGTACTAGAAAAATGGCTAGCACTTTCTTTTCATAAGTAACCTGTTGAATTAAAACACAGGACGTACCCCCAGCTGCCACTATGTGTCACAGTTCTGGATAAATGCCAAGCCCAAATATAAATTTTCTTTCAACAAAATGCACCATCCTTTTCTATTTATTTAAGTGCCAGGAAGAAAAAGCATAGAAAAAAAGGTCAGCCTTGTTCTGTCATTTACCTTTAGAGTGGCTCTTCTTGTTTTCTGCAAATGTATTCTGGAATACTTCTAGCTATTTCCTTGAGCTTTTTTATTTATTTTATTGTTTCAGCTTATATATCACTGCATAGTCCTAGAGCACTCTCTGGGCTGTTTACAACATAATTATGCAAGGACCCCTTTGTCCATCAATGAGCTGGGATTTCATTTTTCCAACCTCAGAAAGATGGAAAGCTGAGTCAACCTTGACCGGCTTCCGGAGCCCACTTGGATTGAACTCAGGACATAAACGGAGACTTGACTGCAGGGCTGCAGTTTAAGCACTGCGCCATGGGGTTCGCTTCCTGGTACTGATCACATTTGAATTAGTTCAAAGTCTAATAGGAGCTTGGAAGAGTTCTGGCTTTTTGTACATCTCCCAGAATTCCAAAAACACTTTCCCAGAATCTGGGTGGAAAAAATTAGAAAGAATAAAAGACCCTTGTTTGGAATAATTAAGGTTGTGGTTAGGAATTCACTGAATGTTCACTAGTCTCTGTTCCATCCAACTGGCAATTTCTCTCTAAAACCACTTTACAGAAATATTCAGTGCTTTATTATTATGTCCAGCACCACTCCTCCCCCTTCCCCAGTTACTTCCATGGCATCTTATCGTTTCCCATCTTGTCAATGTTTGCTTCTCTTTCCTGAATTTGCCATACACATACTCCATTTAATTAGGGAGTCACAGTGTGACATTACAGTAAGACTGTACTGTATGTCATTGTGGGAAATTTAAACGAATAATTATTTCAAGGACCTAAAAAGGAAATGCTTATTCTGACATATGATGAGTTCAGTACTTCTGAACTCATTTAGCAAGGCACCTGGCTACTGTGTCCATCAGTCAACATATGTCAAAACTGGCATGTTCCAGGTGGAGATCAGTATTGTAAGAACCTCATGTACTTTTCTTGGTGTTTTCTTTTCCCAACTTGCTTTCTGCATGTTTTGCACAGAACCAGCAGCAGGGGAAGCACCTGTCTGGACATGTTTTATGCCCAATGGACAGATGCTGACAGGATGCAAGCTTCCACGGTTAACAGACACGTCTGATCTGGATTGCTCAGTTGGCAGCTGTGACCATTTGCCAGTTCAGTCAAGGGAAATGACACAGTTTCATCCTGTGACCAGCAGGGTCTGCAATAAAAGATGTGCTGTGGGTTGAATAAAACCAACCAGCAGTTAAAGTATGTATTGGGCCCGGTCAGATACCTCTGATTTGGACTGGCCAGGACAGAAAAGCAAAAGGGCTGTACTTTTCACACCTCCCTTTCAAAACATGTGGCTTGCAGTTGACTCAGTGTTTCAGGCATTACCTGTCCTCCCAGGATCTTTACACTGCACCCTTTCACTGGCAATGCCCTAGGACTGCTGGGTGTCATATATTAGATCACATCATGAAATATCTACCAAAGAACACAACTACTGTAATACCCCTTCACATCCTCAGCAGATATTACAGCTGCACCAAACAGAAGCAAAACTTTAAAGTATTCTTCCCTTATTTTTTTTTAAATATTGAGCTGGAATTCCTGAAAAGTCCTTGCTCATTGACCCTTTTGCAAGGTTTACCATATGATTTATTGGAACTATCGCTCTAAACTCAAGTTCTAATTTCTGTCAGAACAGGCTTGCTAAATCTTTTACACAAATATTCAACAACATTCAATATCAGAGTCAACAGGGCGACTCTAGTTGGTATTGGCAATGGAATTTAAGTCATCATTTGCGGTACAGTTCCACACACATCTACAGAGAAATAAGTCCTATTCAATGGGATGTAGTCCCAAATAGATGGGGGTATGGCTGCAGCCTTAATTTTATTACTGTGAGAATATTACTTCACAATGGCTTCCATTTTTTTTCATAAGGTTCTGCAAAGACCAATGGGAATAGCTACTTAAAAATTAGAGACAGGATAGCAGTAATAGCATTAAAGTTCAGCAGAGATAAGAGCTAAGTGACTTCATTTTAAGGGATGAAGAATAAAGACTTGAAAGTAAGCGTATATGCTCTCCATCATGACAACCCCAACCGCTCCATCACCACTACTTTTGAACATTTCTAATTAATTAAATTTAATGAATGTGTATCATATTGTGTTGTGCTTTATTGCACATACATAATGGAATGATCACAGAATATAATCTGTGCCCTTGTTGTTATTAACAACTCAGTAAATGCATTTTCCTGTAACAAGTGGAACACAGTTCAGAAGTTGTTCTTTTGTTCCCTTACAAACTTAATTTCCTTGCCTTCTGCGTTCATAAGGGTATAAATCAAAACAGAGCACTGTCCAATTGCTCTTTTAAAAACATTCTGGCAGTTCTAAATGAAACTATCATGGTATCCCTGTTTGAGCATGAAAAAAACAGATATTGGGGATGTGTGACCAAGATTACACTTACATTCACCATTATTTTTTTACTCACATTCCTGTCATCTTTTATGTTGATGCTGAATCAAATACTGTATATGAGATACGAGTGTGTGGCTATATACTGTACCACACACAATCCTGAAATAGGCAGCTGGTACATGTCACCGGGATTTCGGCTAATTCCATTCCCCAAGATATGGCATAGCCAAGAAAAGGTGGAACACCTTCCATGCTTGACATTTTTTCAGATACTGGCTGTGTTAAAATACTTTGACATGCATGTCTTACAAAAGGGAGTGAGGTAGTTAAACCCAATCGTTCTCTTTCAACATGATGTCTATAAGCTTTAATCAATTATAAAAAGCAGATACAGTCTCTTCAGATTAGATTATAAACAGGCAGAGATAATAGATCTGATACCAATGGTTGGGGAAAAAAAGGCACCATCAATTGGTCACTTAGGATGCATGTTCAAAACAAGTAAATATAAAAACTCAAGATAATTCAATATGAATTAGTTGCCTCTGGAAGAAGGGGACTGATGGGTAGGGCTTTTTTTAACCTTTTTTCTGTTCTCTTTTGAGTGAGGCTGGGGCTCTAACCTGAGGGAAGTGGGTGTCCTGAATTAATTTCTCAAGCACGCAAGTGTCTAATCTTGCTATGTGGTGCATGCTGAAGTGATCAAAGATTGCTTGGCGGGAGGGAGGGAGGGGAGCGAAATTAATTAGATTACAATTTGAAGCAGGATTAGAATTGCAAACTCTGAATGTGATGCCTTTTACTTCTTTGAATTGTGACATTAATGGCCCTCAAATCAATAAAATAAAATAGAACACACTGCACGCAAATGCAAAACATCTGAATTGAAATAAAAACACCCATGAATGAGGCGAAATAAGAAAGCTTTTGGGAGCCAAATGGGAATAGCATTTCCGACAGGCTCAATTCCACCGTAGTTTTATTTCAAACAGCTCCGACGACGTAACAGGTTGCTTTCCTTTGGAGATTCCCAGGAAAGCCAAGGTATTTGTGTCTGATCACTTTGAACGGAAAGGAGAGGAGAAAAGAAATAGAAACGCTTCCTAAAGACTAAATTGCCTAATTATAAGATTATTTATACAGTACATTTCTTAAAAATAGCAGTAAAGATTACCATCCTTATAACTAGCATATCGCTTGCATGCAGAATCTTTACTATACACCATTCTGATGAAAAGACATACAGTATGTTTTATAGCTGTAATGCAGGGTTCCTGCTTTTAGACGCTCCTGTTCATTCATTTATAAAATAGAGTCTGCAAATCAGAGTGGATTACCTTTTTCAGAAAAGCCATTCTTGGCCTATAACGCTGCCCTTGATCTCCACGTCTGATGGTCATCGTGGTCTACTCGGTCAAGCCAAAAGCCACAAAAGAAGAATTAAAAAAAGAAAGGGGGAAAAAAACACCCCACAAAGGCTTAACCAATAGCAAACGACAAGATGCTGCTGCTATTGTTCCTGAATCTGATTTCAAGGTAACTGCATTACTCAAAACTCCTCAGCCTAGAAAAGGAAGGCGAGCGGTGGAATCGAGCGCTGTCCCGCCACAGCCAATCAGCAAGAAGCACCGACGTCGTATTTGCATGAGTTTGGGGGCCTTTCCAGCCTGCCAGCAACAGGGGGAGCCCACTCACTTCGTCACAAGAAGCGGCGGGCAGGCGGGCTGGCGGGCGGGGGGCGGGGCGGAAGGAGGCGCGGGAGAGCGCGCGCGTCTCTCGAGCAAGATTCGCGCTGAAAGGCTGAGAAACCCCCGGGAGGTGGGACGACGCCGGCAAACCAATGTCGTGGAAACAAATCCCCCTCCTTTCCTTGGTAAGGGCAGATGCATCGAAAACACAGGGCCCCCCAAAAAAGCGGGGCTCTTTTCCACTTCAAATACAGTATTGTCCACCTGAAGAGGCTTCATTTCTTTACACCCCCAACAGCATCAGGTAACATGATAGTTTTTGCTTTTTCGTGTTTAAAGGCAGATAGATGCAAAGAGCAAAACACAGAACGTCCAATATGTTTGCAGTCCCCATAGACTGCATTGTCTTCTCCCGGGTGGGAAGAGGATTCCAGTTTATGGAGCACCTATTGAACCCAGTACTCCCTGACCCTCAGAACTAGGTAGGGTGCTCCCTCAAGGGGCAGGTGCTTGGGGCAGAGGGAGCAGCCATCCCAGCGAATCCTGTTTATTGCATGACCGTGGGGTGTAAAGGGCAGCTACCCTGCACCTGTAAAGGAAGATGCTGCTAACAATGTGCTAAAGTCTGATGCACAGTCAGCCCCGTCCTCTTCCATATATTTTGCCACTGACAGGAGGATGTTTGAGGGCAGTGGCCCTGACCCTTCCCATGCTCAATACAGAGAGTGTTGGAGGCCAGCGTTAGGCCCCAGGATGCACAATAGTCCTGTGGGCTGACTTTATCTCAGTGTTTAACTGGTGTGCTGAAAAAGCACCAGAAGGTACACATCCCTTCCATTTCAGGTGGGCAGTCACTGCAGGCTCCCCACGCGTCCCTGGCTGGCTCTCCTTTTTACATGTTCCCTGCTGGCTAGAGGATTTGAAGTACCACAGATAGATTCAATGAGCTACTGGCCCAATTTCTAGGGATTATTTACCCAGGTGTGAGGGCAACGACATAAGTTGTCATTAGTTCCTGAGTCTCTGCTTGTATGCCTCATTACCCACCAAGTCATGCCACTGACTTGTCCCACAGTTTTCTGGGCTCGAGTGTGTCGACTTAAAGGTGGGCGCCTGGGACAGAAGAAAGGCTTCCGTTGGTGTACCGTCCACCCTGCTGCTCCACAGCCTCCCTTCCTGAGCTGGTCTCGGAGGTGACGTTGGAGTCCTCTAGGCTGATAGGACTGGGGGACTTCCATGTCCACGCTGAGACCAACTTATGAGGAGCGGCTCAGGACTTCATGTCCTCCATGACAACCATGGGTCTGTCCCAAGTGGTTTCTGGCCCCACACATATAGCAGGGCACACGCCACTTCCTTCAGGAATCCCTGGAGCTGAGAAACCACCACATGCTTCAGTACCTTGCTCAGGAATGATCCAGGAATGGGATGTTTGAGACTGGGCCATAGTTGTCCAATACACTGGGATCCAGGGAGGGCTTCTTCAGTAGCGCTCATACTGTATTACTGCCTCCTTTAGACAAACAGGGATCCTATCCTGCTGCAAGGAGGCATTTACCACTCCCCATACCCAATTGGCCATTCCTCCTCCAGCTGCTTTTATGAGCCAGGAAAGGCAAGGGTCCAGCACACATGTGGTGGCACTCACCTCTCCAAGAATCCTGCCCACATCATCAGGCTGCACCAACTGAAAAGTATCCATTAAAACAGGACAAGCCAGGGCCAAAGTTACATCCACTGGGTCTGTATCAATTACAGCATCCAAGTCAGAGCGAATCCAAGCAACAGCAAAGTGTTGTGCAAATTCCTCACAGCAGGTTGTGGAGTGGTCAATATTTTATTATTTTGGTAGGGCAAGTACTAAGCCCCTGACCACTTGAAACAACACGGCTGGATGACTTTATGCAGATGCAATGGCAGCAGCAAAGAACCTTTTCTTTGCTGCAGCCACTGCCACGGAATAGGCCTTCAAATGGGCTCTAGCCCATGTTCGCTTGGATACACTCTGAGTTTTCTGCCATCCGTGCTCCAAGTCTAGTCGCGCTGACCATGTGACCACGGAAACTGTCTACGGACAAAACGCTGGCTCTATGGCTTGGAAACACGGATGAGCACCGCCCTTTAGAGTCGGACACGACTGGACTAAATGTCAAAGGGAACCTTTACCTATGGGACAGAGACAGCTTTGGTCACCTTGGTGGATGACCTACGCTGGGAACTGGATGGGGGGGAGTGTATCCCTGTTGGTTCTGCTGGATCTCTCAGCAACTTTCGGTACCATCAACCATGGTATCCTTCTGGGCTGTCTCTCTGGGATGGGACTCAGAGGCATTGTTTTATGGTGGTTCCAGTCTTTCCTGGGGGGGAGAAAGAAGGTGGTGCTGGGTGACTCCTGCTCAACACCCTGGCCACTGGCCTGTGGCGTTCCTCAGGGTTCTGCTTTGTCACCCATGCTTTTTAACATCTACATCAAGCTGGTGGGAGACGCTGTCCGGAGTTTTGAGGTTCGGTGTCACCAGTATGCGGATGACACCCAACTCTGCCCCTCCTTTCCACCTAATTCCAGGGAAACTGTCTTGACTCTAAACCAGTGCTTGGCAATCAGTAATGGGCTGGATGAGAGCAAACAAACTGAAATTTAGTCTGTACCAGAGGTCCTCCTGGTTAGTTGGATGGCAGATGAGGGAATAGGGATACTACCTGTGATGGATGGGGTTATACATTTCCCTGAAAACTCAGGTCTGCAGCTTGGATGTACTCCTGGATTCATCCCTAAGCTTGGATGCCTAGGTCTCAGCTGTGGTCAGGAGTGCATTTGCACAGCTAAAGCTGGTGCACCAGCTGTGCTCATTCCTTGAGATGTTGCATCTGGATACAGTGACACATGTCTTAGTTACATCCCATTTGGATTACTGTGATGTACATTATGTGGAGCTGCCTTTGAAGATGGTCTGGAAACTTTTGCTGGTGCAAAACTCTGCAGCCAGGCTACTGACTGGGGCCAGCTACAGGGAGAATATAACACACCTGTTACAAGAACTGCACTGGCTACCAGTCCATTTCCAGGCCTAATTCAGAGTGCTGGTCATTACCTATAAAGCCCTGTACAGCTTGGGTCCAGGCTACCTGAAGGACTGTATCTTCCTATATGCGCCTTCTCGGCAATTAAGATCAGAAGAAGAGGCCCTCCTCTCGGTCCCATTGCCAGCACAAGCACAGCTGATGGGGACACAGGAAGAAGGCCTTCTCGGTGGCAGCTCCCAGGCTATTGAACGCTCTCCCTCGGGAGATTAGGATGGCCCTTTTGTTTTTATCATTTCGAAGAAAGCTAAAGACCGGTCTCTTCAGGCAGGCTTTTAACAATTATAACTGAATCCCTGAACCCATTTCAGCAGAAATTTTAATCTCTCATGTTTTCATGTTTTAATCTTTTAATTGTATTTTAAATCAAATATTGTTTAATTTATCTTTTAATATTTAACTTATTGTGTTTTTAAATTATGTGAATTTTAATGTGAGCCACTTTGGGTTCCTTGTTGGGAGAAATGTGGCATATGTTGTTGTTGTTTAGTCGTTCAGTCATGTCCGACTCTTTGTGACCCCATGGACCACAGCATGCCAGGTCCTCCTGTCTTCCACTGCCTCCTGGAGTTTGGTTAAATTCATGTTGATAACTTCAAATGTGGCATATAAATAAACTAATAAACAAACAAACAAACTGATAGGCAAAAATAGATGTGTTATTTAGCAGCAATTTGTCACTGTGATTGCCACCACTGCACTTACACTGGTATAAAGGACCAACAGGTCTACATGCAAGCTTTGAGAACCTTTCAGAGGCTGAATATGATATGGTTTAGAGGTCTTTTCAAAGGAAAAAAGTACCAAAACAAAACAAAAAAACCACCACTTTCTATAGGCACAACAAATCCTTGGCTCACATTTCAATGCTGACTTTTGGGGCCATAGCTACTTATTGAAATAATCACTACTGACAGAGCAAAACATGGACAAATTCATTTCCTCAGACATAACAGTGGACCACACTGTGTCTGAGGAAGTGGTCTTGTCCGTTAAAGTTCACAGAAAAATATAGCAGTCTTCAAGGTGCCACAACTTTTTTGTCTTTTTTTATTTGTCTTTTGTTCTTGTCAGATATGCTAGCACAGATTTACATAGCTACCTCTTCTGAAGCAAAATGTGGGGGTAGAAAAACAACTTCCACATTAAACACTTAACTCTACTCCCCAGGAAAGCACCACAGGACAAAATGAGAAATTTTACTGAAGTGTGGAAAACGCTGTGCTGGGTGCAAGTGATAAGTATTCAAGATAAATTAGTTTTTAAATACTTCCATTCATAAACAAGTGTTCCAAACATCCATTACTCCCATGAAGATTAGTCCATGCTGTTTAGATAATAGATATCTGCTATAATTATGGACCTAAGAGTTTATCACCCGAGAAAAACCCCATTCTGCTTTACTAACAGTAATAACATGGCTGTCAGATTCTGTGAGTTTTAGTCCAATGTTTGCAAACTCCAAATGATCAATTCACACAGTGAAAATTGGCCCTAGCTACATAGATGTTATCAGTACTGTACATGTTATCGTCTGCCTGGCCATATTGCTGTGTGATCAACTGATTGATCCTCATGATCAGAACTATACATTATATGCAAACATATGTAAGAGTGTATCTGTGAAGATTCTCAGTCATCCAGATGTGGTTATCTGGAAGTTCAGTCATGGCCACTGGACTTCTTTCTTGCTAGGTTGAAAAGTTTAGCTGCTCATCCAAGCAGCTTCTTGGATCTCCTACCAGTTCTCCTCAGACTGAAGAAACAGCTTGGATGAACAGCGAAATGTTTCAACCTAACAAGAAAGAAGTCCAGTTGCAATGACTCAACTTCTCATGCAACAGTAACTCAGGACCAAACCACAAGTTTGGAGACTTGTGTTTTCTCTGCTTTTATATTGTTTTCTTCTAAGTCATGTGATTTATTTTGTGTTGCTTCAAAATTAGACATGCAAGGGAAGTTATTATTTTCCAGAGATAATCCTAATGACACTTGTATCTTCTGTCAATAACTTCTTTAGAGGATTAAGCAGAGGAGGACTTGCTTCAGTGAGGGGTGGGTTGAGTCACCAGAGCTGGGTAACACCTTGAGGACCTAGCAGGCCTCCCACTCCCAGAAGCACTCAACATTGAGGAGTTTCCTGCTTCAGCCAAGGAGCATCCAGGAGATGCTATCAGCTTGATGAATGAAGAACCTCGTGACCCTAGATCAGTGGTTCTTAACCTTTGTTACTCGGATGCTTTTGAACTGCAACTCCCAGAAACCCCAGCCAGCACAGTTGGTGGTGAAGGCTTCTGGGAGTTGCAGTCCAAAACTCCTGAGTAATCCAAGGTTAAGAACCAGTGCCCTAGATAATGCTGGTAATTCCATATGTAAGAACAGGCCATCTGGGTACCCTCAAGGTCAGGCATCTGCAGCATATTATTAGAGCCAGCTGAAGATTTGGCTGGTGGGGGGGGTGTCTCAGCCCAAGGTGAATAAATACCTTCAGCTCAATCAAAGCTGCTAGCAACATTTGATATCACATTGTGCTCTAATCCTCCTTGAAATCATGCCTGTTGATTTAGACTTTTGTAGACCTGTTCCTGCTTGATCCCTCTTAGTTGTGTAGGACTGATATGCACTTGATTTATGGCTCTCATCTTTCACTCTTAAATATTCCTCGAAACCTGGCTCTGACTATCCAGTGTTTGTGCTGGACTATCTTTTAATTCTTTTTCATCCCTGTTTAGATACAACATAACATGTACAGTATTTACAATTTAAAGCTAGAAGAAGGAGTGTCAAGGTCAGGTCGCTGGGAGATCAAGCAAGTGAGAAATCAAGAAGGCAGGAGCGTAAGAAAGAGAGGGATAGACCAAATACTTTTCAAGAAGGCAATGCTGGCAGATGGTTCAGCATGCTGGACAGGAATGTCATGAGTTACAAGTACTGGCAGATGTTCCACTAATTTCCACAGCTGAGATGCAAGTGGCCCAGCTAACCTGGGCCCCATCCAGGACTCAGTGGGAATGTTTCCAGCATCAGGTCTCTTCAAAGATGGACCCTTTTCTCAAGAAGACCCTGTTACCCAAGAAGAGGCCTCTAGTCCTAAAGAGACCTCTCTTGTAACCAGGCGCCATGCCAGCCTTTGCACAGTACCAGTCTCTCGGACTGGGTGGAGGCCCTGCCTCTTTTTTAGACTACCAGGGCTTGCAGCCTCTGCAAGAGAGGATTCTGCAACTCTCTCTTAGGGCCCCAGATCCTCAGTGACTCCCTTTTCCTCCGAGCCATCTGATGCCATAAGGTCAGGGTCCATCAGATGAGGACGGCTCCAGTGGAGCATAACACTCTTGAATCAACTGCTGAATGGTAAGTACCCTATGCTGTAAATCGTATTGAATATGAATATAATGGGTTTATAGCCGAGACTAGCAGCTGCATACAGTTCAGAGTAATCTTCAGCCTTTCTTGCCCATAGCCCCTGGGGTCTAAATAACCGTCATGGCTTATACTGAACATAGCACATAAGGTTCCAAAAATATCTGTTCACTGGTCCTGTCTATTAGCATCTCTTGCTTTCTTCCCCTCCCTGGTCTTTTTAGTCATTCTCTTTATTATTATTCCTGTATTGTAGTGAGTACAGATAGGCACTGACCCAGTCCATGCTCAAATAAAGGACACAGAGATCAGGACCAATTTACCCAGCTTTTGCTGGCACTCCAAGGTGATCCTTGACCAGGCCCCAAGTGGCATTTATGTTTTTCCAGTTCCCTGTGAAAAATCTCCATTTCTGTGAATGGAGCAACACAGACATCAAGGCCAAGTTATAGACTGAATGTTGCAGGTATACTGAAAGGGCAACAGCAAGTGTTTGCAGAAGTGGGCACTCTGCTGAATTTTTTATTTCCTCTTCTTTTTTGCAGCTGCCAGGAAAAAGCCCCCATCAACTTCATGAGAAGGGACTGTAAAGACCAGTGGGTTTAGTCCTCTTTGATTCCTTTTTGAAATGGCAAAGCAAAGAGTCCTAAACTTTCTATCTGTGCCTGGATCTGAAATTAGTGGTGCTACGACCACAGAACTGGGTGATTTAATAAATGACTTTGCAATGCAGTATCCTCCTTAGTTTTTTTCCCCCTCTTCTAATTGTGACATATGTGAAGAAACTGAGAAATTGGAGAGATGTGGTTTGAGGACCTTTCTGGAAAATCGTGGAACCAGCCCTGATCCCCTTGCTGGTGAGAGTGGGCTCTCCACCAGTTGAGAGTAAGGATGAGATTCCTGACCCACAGTTCACTTGTCGACTAGGGCATGGGTAGCATGAATGCAGATGATGCCTTGGAGGCTGCAGGTGTAAACATGGACTGCTGGGGATTTAAGGAGGAGAATGAGGGAGAAGAGAACTGCTGAGCTGACACCCTTGACTGGGAGGTGTTGGAGGCCCAGGATATATAGTATTGGCATTGCCAGAACACTCAACAAACAGCTGGGAGATTATCTGTTGTCAGGACTACACAGGGTGCTAGGAGGAGTTTCTAGTATTGTCTAAGGAGGCTGTCCTAGTCCGTTCAGAACAAGGCAAGATAATGTGAGGCTAAGCAGCTGGAGAACCAGTGAAGGGCATGACGCCAGCAGAGGAAGCAGCAGGTTCAAATGGTCCTGGAGCAACAACCTCGCAGGCAGGTTGTTGCCAATATTAGCCAGCCCTCTTCCTCCTATTGCACCTCTCTCCTTGAATCCAGTGATCGGTCACAACATGAATGCAGGATTTAATGTAAGGAACCTGGGGAGGTTGCTGTTCCACCCAGAATGCCTCTGGAGTTCTTTGTTATACCTCACGGTCACCTTGGAAATGCACACATAACCAATTCAGTTTGTACAGTATTTAAATATTTCCCTGAAGACAAGGCACATCTCTTGCATTGGGTCTTCGCTGGGTCTGGCAGAAGAAGAAATGAAGCACAGAAACAACTTGGACATATGTATGCTATTAACAAAGACAGAAAAATCTGCTTTCCTTTTAAACTTCCATCATTAACAAGATCTGTCAGGCTAAAATTGCAATTAAATATCCTAGAAACACCTGGATTATTTACTATATTTCCATTAAAACCCATATTTATATAAGCTTTGAGGAGCTACTTTTTTTGACTACCATTTCCTCAGCCAGTATGACCACAACAGCTGGAGGACGTATGGGGGGGGGCTTGCAGTCCAAAAAGTATGGTTTCCAAGTTCTGGTTTTTATGCATAGCCTCCAGTTCCTTAAACATCGTATTTATTTTGTTGGAATCTACAGCATCACTTGGACAGTGATTTGGAAAAAGTGGGGGACATATCTATATAGTTTCACAAATCAAATCCCTATTCAGGTATTCTGCCCTGAAAAAGCTATAGGAAATGCATAGTCATCATGCCTTCTTTGTATCCAACTACTTTGTGTTGAGCTGGAAAATCTGTAAGATCTCATCTGACCTGTATTTTACACGAGTGGATAAATCCACCCTGAGAGAAATCAACCCTGAGTGCTCACTCGAAAGACAGATCCTGAAGCTGAGGCTCCAGTACTTTGGCCATCTCATGAGAAGAGAAGACTCCCTGGAAAAGACCCTGATGTTGGGAAAGTGTGAAGGCAAGAGGAGAAGGGGACGACTGAGGATGAGATGGATGGACAGTGCGAAGCAACCAACGTGAATTTGACCCAACTCTAGGAGGCAGTGGAAGACAGGAGGGCCTGGCGTGCTCTGGTCCATGGGGTCACGAAGAAAAAGAGAGGGATAGACCAACTAAACAACAAAGATACCTCCACATGGCTAGGAGCTCTTTTATCTAGACTCCTACTTGGACAAAAGGTCTTGTTCTTCAAGACAACACAACAAAGATCACCTTGCCGACTTCCCTGTTCAACATGTTAAGGTGGCATCTCTTGGAAGGGGATTTATGTGCTCAAAACTGTCCCTTTTATTTGTATTCCTGCACTCTGTTAGGTAAAAATAAGTGATCCATGGTGAAGAGCTGTTCTCCACTTGGTTACAGATACTCTCAAGTACTGCATCAATGGTGAACTGCACATTTCCTATTTTCTTTTTTCCCCTTTCAAAATGGTCTCATGGTTGCTGCTTACAAAAGTTCTGACAAGGGTTCATTGTACCTGAGCACAAAATTTGCAAGAGAAAGCTGCCTTCAGTCTGATAAATGAAAGTAGGGTGGAGAGGCATATTCTAATCTCAATCACATTTTCTAAAAAGATCCCAGCAATCAATAGTGCTTAATATGGCTAATTTTTAAAGGGGATTTCTGGGAAAACAATCAGCATTGCCTTGGTTGTCCTGATGCAAATGTTGGACTGCAACTTGCATTAGCAGAGTCAATGGCAAGGGGGTCACAGAAATGGCAGTTTATCATCTGAAGGGCCGTATTTAGTTATGAACTTTCTCGGACTATTTTTTGCTCAAGTGATGATCAACTCCTCCCAACAATGCCTAGAAACAGTTTTTTATGCGAGGCATGACGAAGACTGCAAGATTCTTCCATGCAACACATGCGTATATGGTTCAGTATTACCAAAAATAAAATCTGAAAGCAGTGACCAGGCAGCAAAATAGTGATTACAGGAACAAGAAAAAGGCATGGAAAGAATTGTGCTGCTGTTACTGTCCCCCAGTTCTATCCCAGGGACACCTTCTTATCTTGCTGGGGAAATCCTCATACAAGCCGGAAAAGTTGGGCGATAGGCCATTTTCACAGAGCTCTTCGGTAGCATCCCATATTGCTTGTACTGTCTTGCAGGAACAATCTGTGACAGCACTGTTTTTCAGTAGTTTATCTTCCTTGGAGATCTCTTGACAAACAAGAGTTAGCTTGCCTGTTACTTCAATTGTACAATATGTGAGACCTCTGCTTGGCCCTAGGGCTGCTGACTTGCAAGGTACTATCTTCTGGTTATGCCATTTAACTTCAGTATTAAACTGCTGGGTAAGGAAGGAAAATGAGTAGAAGAGAATTGAGAGTTCCACCCATGATACAGTATAATACTAGCAATAATCTTAGAACTGAAAAGCTTGAAGGGACCCTATGGATCACTGAGTCCAGCCTGTCAAGGAGGCACAGCAAAGGTAATACTTGCAGAGGGTCTTTTGCAGACAACAGTGATAACACAAGATAACGGGTGTTAGTACTGTAGTGCTCAGAAGACAACAATAAGCCATTTCTGAGTAATTTATATCTTGAACACCCTATGATATGGCAATCTTAAATTAAAAGTGTAGACAGAGAGGTCAATGAAATGCAGAAAATACAATTTCCTCTACCACTGAGGCCATTCTCAAAACACTTGTTGATCACGCCTTCATCCATGTACCTATGTGTTGATGCCACATGTAGTGTAAAAAAAACAGCAAAACCTGTATTTCTGTTTAACCTGCCGGAGTTGAATCCTCCAATGAACTGAAGTTTTAGACTAGAGCGTTAGTCTAGATAGAAGACATTCCTGCAGAACATTATTGTAACTTTCTAGGAAAATTAGTCTAGATACAAGACATTCCCGCAGAACATTATTGTAACTTTCTAGGAAAAGCGTAATAAAATTACACTCAGGCGTGGATTTATTTAATGCTTACATTAGCGAGGCCGGCGGGTCTCATTTTCTTTGTCCTAATTACAACCAAGCACAAATTGTTCATGTCCAGCTAGTCTCCCTGACATGTTGAGATCCGCGGCGTTGTTCTTCTGGGTCATTTTTTAAAAAAGGAGGTAGCGATATTCAGGCCCCCTGGAGCTTTACCCACGCACGGGGAAATCCTGCCCTTAGTAACGCGAAGAGAGGAGCGCGCTGTATTCTGCATGTGCTCTGAGGAATCCCAAATCAATGTATAATAAATATAAAGAGCATAAACAGGTGAGAAAGCGAAGCCATCTCAAAGGAGAAACCGACGAGCGTACCCAGAATAAAGCGCGCACGTAACTTTTGCACGAACTGGCCCTCGAAAAAACGTTACACGACAAAAAGGCCCCGAAGGCGAGCGCGAAACTTAAGCAGCACGCCCTCCTTGCTGGCACCCCACAGAAAGAGGCGGCGCCAAACCACGTGGCCACAGTCCTTGTCTGGATTGGAAAAAGATCACGTGACTCCCTTTCTAGCGGTGTCTCGTGTCATATGGCCGCCACGAGGGGCGGAGCTTACTCGGGCGTCGGAGCGGGTTACGCAGGCGCAGAGCAGCGCAGGGACGCGGCGGCCGCTCCCTGGTTGGCAGTCTTCGCTAAGATGGCGGATTTCCTGCCGTCGAGGTCTCCGCTATCGGGGTGCTTCCCCGGCTGCCTGCTCAACAGCAGCGAGGCCGAGCAGCAGCGCAAGTCCAAAGAGATCGATAAGTGCCTGTACCGCGAGAAGACCTATGTCAAGCGGCTGGTCAAGATCTTGCTGCTGGGCGCGGGCGAGAGCGGCAAGAGTACCTTCCTCAAACAGATGCGCATCATCCACGGGCAGGACTGGGACCTGGCCGCCCGGGAGGAATTCCGCGCCACGATCTACAGTAACGTCATAAAGGGTGAGGGGCGGGAGCGGCGCACGCGCCTTCCCTTCTGGCTGGGCTTCGCGGGGCAGGGGGCGCGCGCTGCCGAGATGCGATCAGAAAGGGGGGGCGGAAGAGGGGCGCGAGGGCGACAGTTGGAGGGAGACAGTTGGAGGGAGACAATTACATAGGCCCGTTCCCGCGCGGGAGGCGTCGCAGCGGCCAATGCCCGGGTGGCTGAAGCGCGAAAGGCGTTGGCCTGGCCCGAGCGGGCGAGGAGGGTTGCGCTGGTTTTGAGGGGAGACGGGCCGTGGAGCGCAGCCCCTGAAAGCTGGCGGCAAGTGAAACGTGGTCGCCCTCATGGTTCCCCAAGAGTCTTTGCCGTCAAGGCGGATGCCCTCCCCCGAAAATTTTTCTCCTCAGGAATAAATAACCCTTAGCCGCTTTCTGCTCCTTGTCACGCTACTTTCCCCGCTTGGTCCCATTCGAAGCCCTTGCCGCGACGCCGTGGTTGCTGCTGCTGTTTCCGTTAGCGGCTTTTGGAGGGTCCTTGAGGGGCGAGAACTGTGGGCGTGCAAAGGGCAGGCTGTGTGTGTTTGTGGGGGAGAGCAGGTGCAGGTCAGACTTCTGTGAGGAGGGGTGATTCGGGGGCTGAAGAGAATCTGTGCCGTATAAGGGTGGTGGGAACCAGACGAGGTCGTTGTCTGGGCTGGTCAGTTGGGAACAGTTTGTGAGCCAAGATGTGGGCTTAGCGTGAACCTTCTGCACTGTGCCTGTTAGAGCAGAGGCTGAGATCCTCCTGTCTCTGTAGAGTGAATATAGTGGTTGTGTTTAGGGTGGACTTTGTGCCAGATACTTCTGTTCATGCAGTGCGTATAATAACAATTATCCTTTGTTGATTGGTGAAAGTGAATGTGTGGAATTGATACTATAGAGACAAGAAAATAGGTGTGTGTTTATGATAGTTCCCATTGTGGTTGCAAGACTAACGTAAGGCTACAGAGCATTGTGTTCAGGAATGCAAGGCAGACTGTGGATCTAGATGTAAGAGTTTATCCTGGTGCTTTCATTGTCTGTGTGTATATTGTATAAAAGCATGAAAGCTAGCATGCTTGTTTTCGGTAGTGATCTGCTAAAAAGACAGGGAGGCAAAACGTATATGCTGGCAGTCTGAGGGGTTGTGAGGGATATACTGAGCATACTATACTGAACTATTCAAAAGAGTGGAGCAGAGCTTCCTAGTCCTGTTTAGACAGAAATTACATTGAGCTGTCTATAAGCAAGAAAAATAAGTGCACTGCATAAATACTGCCCATAACGCTCAAAGCTCTCTCTTGGTGGTTTACAGTTTAATTACATAGGCTACGCATTGCGAGCGGGGTACTCATTTTACCAACGTCAGAAGGATGGAAGGATAGCCAACCTTGAACTGGTTACCTTGAGCCGGGATCAAACTCAGGTCATGAGTAGAGATGGGCATGAGTTCGTGGTGTTCTGTGGTTCCAAGCTTCGCCTCCTCTGGTGGATGCCCACTCGGAGACAGTGCTCTGAGGAGGTGGGGTAGAGAAGCCAGAGAAGCTACCTCTGAGTGGGCACCTGCTGGAGGAGGTAGGGCTGAGAACTGTGGAACACCTGTTTGGCAAGCCACCAGACTGGTACAAACTGGTAATTCATGCCCACCTCTAGTTATGAACAGAGCCTTCACTGCAATCTTGCAGTTTTAACTACTGTACTGCAGTAGAAGTTTTTTTTTAAAGAGAAGGATCAGTTAATGGAAACAGATCCGATTTCCTGGCTACATTTGTACCATTGCTTAATACTCTTTTATGTTGACTTGTGATGTGGAAGTGAGTAGCATAAGGAACCAGTGATTTTATTTGCTTGTCAGCTAGCTTGTGAGCTTGTTTGCCACTCCCCTGACTTAGAAATACTTGAGTTTGGCTGGGGCTCCAATGTGTGGTAGGACTTAAGATTGTAGTTTAAACGTGTTCGACTTCGTTTTGTTTCCATTTGTTCCTAGTAGTTCGCTTTATAGAGCAGTACGTGACAGTTACATTTGAATGAAATGGAACAAGAAATTGTGCAGTATTAAATATGACATATTTTTATGATCAATTATCTATTTAAAGCTAAAGTATTGATTATCTATTACAATAGTGTATGCACTATGGATAGTCTAAGATAGGCTGGTGAAGAGATGTTAGCAAAAGGCTGTTACTAAAAAGTCATACTCTTATTTCAGGAAGGAGACTGACAAGTGATTAATTTTCAGAAAAAAAATCATTACTTGTAAGATCTTTTTATATCTATACTTCATGGGAGCAGGAAGAGATTTGTTCTCCTCCTTCCAGGTACCTGACATGGCTAGGTTTTATTTGTCAACTATAAATGTTGAAAGATCATAACATTTATATCGTAAAATTTAGGTCTTTCCCCCTTTGGCTTCTTTGTGTCTTAGGCTCCTTTTGCAAATGTACTGTGTTTAGTCACCTAAGATTGAGATAATGTTATATGGTTGGTCATTTGGGGGGTGGGGAAGTTAACAGTGACATTTGGAGCAAATTACCTAAATCTTAAATATGAATTTTCTTATTTTACACAATTTTCCTATTTTATACTGTTAGTGGCACTAGCAAAATTAACTAAGTTGTTTTTGTTTCTTATTTGTTATAGGTGTAAGAGTTCTTGTGGATGCTCGAGAGAAACTTCATATTCCCTGGGGAAATCCTAGTAACCAAACACATGGTGACAAGCTGATGGCCTTTGATACTCGCTCAGGAGTGGCAGTGCAGGGAATGGTTGAGACTGAGGTTTTCTTACAATACCTTCCAGCGATAAAAGCCTTGTGGGAAGATAGTGGCATCCAGCACGCCTATGACAGACGCAGAGAATTTCAGTTGGTAAGAAGTATGCTTATTAGTATTCTTGCCTTCATGAAAATGGCACTTTTAAAAATATGTAAGTGAAATACTGGCTATTTTTGTATGGTTGTGGAAATTCATATTGGCAGAATTATTTGAGATAGTCTTAGAAGTTTTATTTTGTGTTTTTTTTATTTGTTGGTGACATTTGTAGTCTTCTTTTTTACCTCCAATAGGCTGAACATATTGCACATGGCTTTCTTCCTCATTTTATTCCTACAACCTCTTTGTAAGATAGACTAAGCCTAATGAAAGATTCGCCCAGGCTTATGTACTGAATTTCACAGCTTCATTATTTCAGCGGAGAATTGAACATAAAAGTCTTAATTTATGATCCAACTTTCCTAGAAGCAGATGAAGTGTTAGCAAAGTGATTGGGAGGCAATCCTATAATAGCATCAAGATCTTTCTCACTTGGCTGCTTAAGGGGGGAAATCCTTCCCACTTGCACCCAGGTATGTCATTGCATCATGTAGATGAATATAAACAACCTAGTCTAGTATGATTTTCATTTTACAAATGTTTAAGTGAGGAGCAAACCAGGGAAGTTTATTTTCACCAAGGCAGACCCTGGATTTGTAGTAGAGCTTTGCATCTGAATCTGAATGTCATAGTGTGTAAGAATAGTGGGTTTTTTATTTTGTTTTGTTACTTAGTTGTTCAGAGATGTTCTCCTCCCCTATACCAAGCAAATATGTTCGTTCCTTGACAATGAAAAACAATAGGTAATGCAGTGGAACCTCTACTTACAAACTTAATCCATCCCAGAAGATGTTCGTTAGTTGAAACGTTGATAAGTAGAAGCTCCGTTTCCCATAGGAATGCATTGAAAACCATTTAATCCGTTCCGGTAGAAGAAAAAAAATACTCCTAAAAATAAAAAGAACACAACAAGCATGGTCGGAAGGCACTAAGAAGGGGAAAACACTCCAACAATAAACAGTAAATCCAGCTCTGTTGCTGAGGCTTTAAGAAGGGGAAACACTCCAACACTAAACAGTAAACCCAGCTCTGTTGCTGAGTCCTTAAGAAAAAAAGCCACCAACAACACAGCACAGAAACATATCTGCCCCAGCCAAAACCCGCCCAGAACAGTTTTTTAAAAGGAGAAAACAGCAGCTTACCTCCCTGTAGATACACATAAAGGCGCACTCTGAAGCAGGAGGCTCTCCTAAGCCTCCATTTGCAACACACTCCATAACTGACAAAAGAGCTACAGCACAAAGAAGCAGACTCGGCGCCACCTACAGTTAGAAATGTGAATTGCCTGCCTTTTTCCCCTGCCCTTTTCTGTTCGTACAGTGGTGCCCCCCTTGACGACGATAATCCATTCCGTTAAAAATCGCTGTTAAGTGATATCGTCGTCAATCGAAAATAAAAAACCCATTGGAATGCATTGAAAACCGGTTAATGCGTTCCAGTGGGTGAAATACCTCATCGTAAAGCGAAGATCCTCCATAGGGGAAGCCATTTTCGATCGCTGTCTTCCGGAAATAGGTCCAGAAAACAGTGGGTGGCCATTTTGAAACCCTGACAATCAGCTGTTTTTGATCGTCATGAAGCAAAAAATCTGTTCGAAACAGGGACCGATTAAACGTAAAGCGAAAATACCCCATTGAATCATCGTTTCGCAATCACAAAAAACTAATCGTAAAGCAATTTCATCGTCTAATGGGGTCATCTTGAAGCGGGGCACCACTGTATGTTGAAGCTCCATTCGCAAGTAGAAGCAAAATTTTGCAAACGGACCTGTTCGTAAGTTGGTTTGTTCATAGGTAGGGATGTTTGTAAGTAGAGGTTCCACTGTATTCTGAATATCATATGCACCATGTATGTCTGATTTGAGGTAGGTTGAGGACCTGAAAAGAACTTTAGGAACAAGGTTAAACAGAAAAATGTCATTGTGTATCTGAATGTAGTTAAAAAGCTGTATTTCTAGAACAGGGGTCAGGGAACTTTTTTACCTTTTACTCCCCCCAAAAATTTATATACGCCGACATTACCCTCTTGATTTGAAAGGAAGGAAATCATACATTATTTGAATTCAAAATCTTATTGAATCTATTCACAATTGAACCTGTGGAACTCTCTGCCACAGGCTGCAGATGGAGATGGTTACCAGCCTACTTGGCTTTCAAAAAGTATGTGCAAAGTTCAGGGAAAGCAGCGGAATTTGCTTGTTTCTTGACCTGGGATATCCACTTGTGCTTAATCAAGGCACAAGCACTCTGTGTATGTTTAAGGGACCACTGGTTTACTTCATACAATTGGAGGAAACTTAGCAGGTGGTCTGCAGTCTGCAAAAATTCCTGCCAAATCTAAAACTGTTGATCTTTAAAAGTGCCACAAGAGCCCCTTTCCCTCCTGTTGCAACAGACTTCACAGGGCAATCTAGATCTTGGGGTACTTAGTTTCTCTTAGCCGATGCGTCACCGAGGAAAGGAAAGACTGTGCTTAATCCAAGAATGGAGGAAGCGGCTCAGCACATGGTCAAAGGCACCTGGTTAGTTAGTTTGTCGAATGGATGACCTTTGCTGCACGGCAAACTGGTTCCCCTTCAGGCTGGGCACAGCCCTACTCTCTTTTTTACAAAAGCAACACTCCTAGCTTGGAAGGGCGGAGGAGCCCAGGCTGGACCGCGCAGCCGATGCAGGCAAGGAGAAGGGAGGAAAGGATTGGGGGAGGGAAGGCCATGGCGAGGGAAGACGCATGGAGCGTGGGAGGGTGAGGGAGGAGGCCAGTGCCTGCCTGCGGTGTGCTTTTGTCTTTAGTCTGCTTCCCACCCGTTTGCATCCCAAGGCGGCCTCGGCTCCTAAAAAGCGCGGTGAGACGAGCATCAGGCTAGAGCTGTGCAACCGCCGCCAGCCAGGCTGGGGAGAGAGGAGCATGTGACGCACAAGAGCAGGGCAGCCAGGAAGTGCCTCAGCGCATGTCCTCATTACCCCAAGATTTTCATTTTTACCCAGTTTGGGGTAAATTACCCCTGTTCCCCGACCACTGTTCTGGAAGGTTGATGGAGGAAAGATTATGCGTATTATGAGATTTGCTTTCAAATTTTCCTATGGATATGTTACATCTGCTTCTAAAAATAGTCTTAAGAGTGGTGAACAATATGGTCTAGACTGTGTTGCAAGCTAGCAGACTGTGTTTTTCCTCCCAACACACTTGTCATAAGATAATTTCAATTGTGGGCAGATTGGAAACTCTAAAATTGTTGAATGTTTGTATAAAGTGTAAGATTTCCATGTTTTTAAAGATTTTTGTTGGTGCACTAATCTCATAGTTCTTGTTTTTATTTCTAACAAACCAAAATTATTCAATAATCTAAAAGCCAGATTTAATAAACTTAAATTTGAAGAGAACAGTTGTTCAATCTGCCATACATTTGTTCATTTCCTATATCAGTTTTAACACTAATAGTGATCTCTGTTTTTCAGAACATTAATCCTAGTGTAGAAAATGGCACTGCCCACATGCATAGGGTAGGTGAGGTATTTGCCGATTTGGGGTTGCTGAGGTACAAAAATCTTCTGATAATCTTGAAGAGACTTCCTTACATAGCATCAGATACTGGGTTCACGTTTCACATAAAGCAAGCCACTTGTTCCATACCTCTTCACCCACTGTAAGAACTGTGAAATTACAGTTTCTGTCTTCCATGTGTAATAAATGTAGGAAGTAGTTTTATGGTCAGTTTGTGTTAAGATCTAAGGGGAAATAATGGACAATTTCCGAAGAACTCTGCTGTCACAACTAGACTTTTCTGCCCTAACCCATCAGTCAGCAAAATTCTAAACTAGTAGAGAATCTGCACATGAGTCAAGAGATGCTTCATAGTGACAAAGAATGTAATATATGGAGCTGCACTAAGAAGACAGAAATGGGATAGTGGCTTGTATGTATAAAAATTCTTTTCTTCTTACGCATGACATTGATGGATCCAAGCTGGTTCCAGCAGCAGGCATAGTTGGACACCAAGAAAATCTAGTTATGTTTATTTTAATGAAAACAACTGAACAAGCATGGCTTCTTTTAAACATTTTCATGTATTTCACCATCCTGTCAGCCCCTTGTGAGGTAGTAAAGGAAGGTGATTCTTGAAATGCCTCAGCTTAGGTTGCTGATGCAAACCACAACAGATGTTTAATATTCTTATGTTAAAATACTTTGTCTCTTTATTGCAAGTGGTATTTGTTTTGTATTTGTGTTGTTCCAACCCATATAACACTGGATGTGGTTTCAAGTGATATTTAAGTATTGGCTCCAGAATATGTGAGGGGCAGAAAAGGAACCGTTAGTGAGTTTCTGAGTTTCGCTTTTGCTTGTTCCATTGTTTCCTAGCTGTTGAATGGTGGCCTGTACAGAACTCTCCTCCCCTGCCCGCATGTATTGTATATTGGAGCATCAGTACTTTCTGTGGCTGGCTTTTGCAATGTGCATACACTTCAACTGTGTATGTTGCTGCTTTGCTTTTATTGCTTGTGTCATCACTGGAACATCTTATTGTTTTACAGAATTTACCAGTAGTTGATTTATATAGTGTAACTGATGGTTTCTAAACTGAAGGCTGTCATACACTCTTCAGTTCAAACTGCTGATGAATTTGACTGTTTTCCTTTCTTTGATTTGTCCATTTGTGGAATTATGTGATGGGATGCTTATCACTGCAGCTGTTGTGGCTTTTTGCTACTGCAGCAGATCTGGATGTGATAAAATACATTAATTCTATTTTTAACATCCAAGCTTAGAGTGGTGTTTGTGATGCAGAATTTCATATGCTTTGGTCTAGATTAGAACATAGAAAGTTAATTAACTCTGGTTATGGTCTGAACATCTGAATTCTCAGTTTACCGTATTTTTCGCTCCATAAGATGCACCAATTTTGGTTTTTCTCTTCTATTTCTTTGCACTGGCCATTGTAATAGTTATTTTTGCTTCTTTGTGATGATTGCTGGATAGTTGCATTCAAGATTCTGCTT